CCTCGTAGCCCTCCGCTGGACTCTCTCCAGTAGCTCCTCATCTTTCTTGAACTGGGGAGCCCAGAACTGGACACAGTACTCCAGATGGGGCCTCCCCAGGGCAGTGTAGAGGGGAAGGAGAACCTCCCTCGCCCTGCTGCCCACACTCCTCTTGATGCACCCCAGGATCCCATTGGCCTGCTTGGCAGCCAGGGCACACTGCTGGCTCATGGTCACCCTGTCGTCCACCAGGACACCCAGGTCCCTCTCCGCAGAGCTGCTCTCCAGCAGGTCCACCCCAAGCCTGTACTGGTGCCTGGGGTTGTTCCTCCCCAGGTGCAGGACCCTGCATTGCGAAGAGGAGACCTAACCAGGCAGGGGTCTGTCTGCCAGCAGCTTGCGTCGTCTTTTGTGTGTAAATCGCAGTATTTCAGACCCGTGTGACTCGGCCTGAAGAACTGGGCGAGGACCCGAGCTGCCCCCCACAGAAGGTCACTGCGGGAGGCTGGTGGTCTCGTGCTTCGTCGCGTTGCTCGTTGAGATCCCGTCCCGTGAGCCGTCGCGCCGCTGGTGGGTGACCTCGCGGTGGAGGCCGCGCTGGGTCACCTTGCACCTCGGTCGGGCTCTACTGGGTGACCCCCGCCATGTTTGTGGGCAGCCCAACGCAGCAGAGCTGTCTCCTAAGGCACCTCCTCTCCCTCCCTGTGGGGTGGGAAGGGGGTCTCCCCGCACAGCCCCTCTCCCCTGTCCTGTGGCCAGGCCCTTGGGCGCAGGGGGACAGGGGACGTCTGAGCCCGGCAGCAGCCCAGAGCCATCGGTGAACCAGGAACAGAACGGTCTGGGCTCGGTTGTCCACGCAGGGACCTATACCATCACGTAGCTGCACTTCCAGCTTGCAGGACCGATTGTAAATCCACTAAAAATAGATCTTTATTTAACACTGGTCTTACACGTGCTCCCTGTCAAAGTGCTTTTAATTTTCCTTTCTGACGCGCGCTGTTTTGTGTTCCTCTCGGTGGTTCGCAGAGTCGTGGGCACGAGTGCTTTTCGATGCTGCTGCTCCCGCAGAGCTAATGCTACGCACGTGCCAGGAAAGAAGCCCTTAAAGGTTCATTTGAACACCCAGAGCCGCGGGACTACTCAACAAGTGCTGTCAGAGCTGGATGTCTACTAAATTAATTGGGGGAGTGATGTAAACGCTGAGTCTAGTTGGAGGCTGGTGACAAGTGGTGTCCCTCAGGGGTCAGTACTGGGCCCAGTCTTGTTTAACTTCTTCATCAACGACCTGTATGAAGAGTTAGAATGTACCCTCAGCAAGTCTGCTGATGACACCAAACTGGGAGGTGTGGTAGATACACCGGAAGGCTGTGATGCCATCCAGCGTGACCTGGATAAGCTGGAAAGTTGAGCAGAGAGGAACCTGATGAGGCTCAACAAAGGCAAATGCAGGGTCCTGCACCTGGGGAGGAACAACCCCATGCATCAGTACAGGCTTGGGACGGACATGCTGGAGAGCAGCTCTGTGAAGAGGGACCTGGGTGTCCTGGTGGACGACAGGTTAACCATGAGCCAGCAGTGTGCCCTGGCTGCCAAGAA